ATATATATAGTTTTTGATTTTTTTCACATTGACGCACCAATCCTAAAAATCTGAAAAAATTCATGAACAATCCTTGCAACAATATGCATCTACCATAAAAATATAAATCTAGTCGTCTCAAGATTTCTATGTGCAAAAATTATTTTTCACGGCTACATTTTGCAAGGGAAAAATCTGAAAAAATTCTCAGACGTGTCCAGCGACGCTACGAACATGTCAGAATTTTCTCAGATTTTTCGCAAGGCGTTAAATAAGGGTAAACCTCAAAAAACTGATTTTTCGAATTTTCCCGATTACTATCCCCCTGGTTGAGATATAGGGCTAAAAATTGGAGTAAATGTTTCTTTTTTGATAAGCTGTCGAATGGCGCAAACGGCGTTTCATTCGGCTCAAGGGCACATTTGACCCCTTTATCCAGCTAGGCCCTTTCTATTTAGAATTAATTTTTTGAACTGGTATCATGAATGTTTTCATTTGCATAAAAATTCGCACTCGAACTACAAGCAATTGCATAGCTGTTTCTGACAGAAAAATATATATATGTGTAGTATTAAAAATATATAATTAAGAACAGGTAATTGTATTACAAAAACTGTTTAATTATATATTTCTTATTTGAAAATTTAATGACTTACTCTTATAATTATTTCATGAAGTTTACTTTTCTTGTTTTACTTGGTACAAAATCATTTAGATCTTCGTAATTTAAATCTTCACGTAACTTATTTTCAATAGATAATAGCGTCAATTAGATAATCTTTCTTACGTATTAGTAATAATATTTTTATTAATTTTAATTTAGAGGAACTACGCTCCACAGAAACAGTAATGATTGGAATTGTTAATAATATTCCCAAAGAAGTATATAAATTTGGAAAGGAATCTTTAACTTCATGTATCACATTTAAACATTGCATTGGTGTTATACACGACGAATTCTTACTGCAGATGTCACCGAATATTTTCATTTCAAGTCGATTCCATCTATATCTCGATGATCTTCATTTCTTAAAATAGTATTGAGCAATTGTAACAATCAGTCACACTGTTTCAGAGAATGGTTGGAGGTGTCCAGCGTGTCAGAACGTGAACTTAATAATCCCGGAGGATTACTTTTGCTTCTGCGGTAAAACGAAAGCACCCGAATGGAATCGTAGAAGCGCCGCGCATTCGTGTGGCGAAATCTGTGGTAGGATGTTATCGAAGAATAGCTGCCCCCACAAGTGCTGTCTTCTGTGCCATCCAGGATCCTGTCCGCAATGCGCGGCGATGGTAACGAGACATTGTGGCTGTGGCAGAACCTCACAAACGGTCCAGTGCAGCAATCACAAACTGTTGCTGTGCGATGCCGTGTGCGAAAAGGATTTAAACTGCGGTAAACATAAATGCGAGAAGAAATGCCACCATGGAGAATGCGCAATATGTGATAAAACGATAACGCAAGGTATATTCATTGTTAAACCAACTGACAGATTTTGTACACTAATTTA